GAAAAATTACTCTTTCCCTTTCCCTTTCTATTCCTCTATTCAGTTACGTAATAAATCCAACTTCTATTATTGTATCACGTGAAAACGTATAAAAGGATAATTTACTCGAGAGAGAGAGGGAGAGAGAAATGTAATATAACTCCGTAACGATCTATACTTCAAATTCGAATAGATTCATTTTCTAATTACTTTAAATGTCAGGATTAGGCTGATTTCAATGTCGAGAGTAACTCGAGAAAATCCACGAATGGGAAATTGCCGAACACAAATGCGTTCGAGTCACGCAAAACAGATTCACGATCCAACTACATCGATTACATTTTAATTGGACGTTAATTTAATAGTTCGAACGGTTGCGAGATTATCTTTTATATTATCTTTTCGATTCAGAAATTGATCTGCATTATCAATATGAAAACAAAAGAAAATACTTGATGATTTATTTATTTTTTTTTTTTTTTTAATAAATACCGATCGTATCATTACCATTTCGTATAATTTCACGAAATAAATCACGTTCTAATTTACTTTCTTTCATATATCTCTACTATATAATATACATATACATTTATATTATACAGTAGAGTTAAGGATGACTGAAAAAAAGGGGTGGGAATCGGTAAAATCGGTGTTAGACCCTTCTTCTTGCTACGTAGTAGTAGTAGTAGTAGTCCATTTCGACGATTGCATACTTACTACAAATCGATACCGATATATCTTCAATGTCTTCGAACTGGTAGAATTATTTCATGGAAAGTAGACAGTCCTCTTTTGTATACCCCTCACTTTCACCCCTCGACCATGCCCTTCTTCTTTTATTTTTCTTTCTTCCTTAATCCACGAAATTCCTTTTTTTATTTTGTTCGCAATAGCTTCTTATTTACATTAATTGTTGATCGATTGTGTTCAAATTTAAATGTTACAATTTTATTATGGTTCAAAGTGTAACTCTGCATGAATAAACAATTTAAATTCTTATGCTAAGCGAAATAAATGATAATACTTCGTTTGGTCGATAAATATATATTATTTATGTATGTGTATGTGTATAACGTTGATACAAAAGTATTATTTCTAAGTAAATGAGAGACTAAAAACGAAAGAGAGAGAAAGATGTAACAATTCATAAATGAGACTAACGAAAGCTACTTCTCTACCTCGTTATATGAATATTTATATTAAATATATAAAAGACGACATTCTTTCAACAACGACATAAATCTTATGTTTTGTTTCTATTTAATTTAAAAAAGAAAAGAATTCTTCTTGAATTTGTGAATGAGATTAAATTAATTAATCGATCGTATGTAAAAATAAAATATGTCAAAATTAAAACTCTTGTATTTTTTTCTTTTCTATTTACGATTGATTGCAAAATCAATATAAAAAAATAAAAAGAAAAAATTATCAGGGAGGGAGGAATAAATTTTTCCTCTATAAAGTAAAATTACTAGTGCGTAATCTATGACGATATCATCGAAATATATATATATATATAATAATAATAATAATAATATAGAGTTGTGTTAATGTTCGTTCATTCGTTCGGATACGCTCGTTGATCGCGTTCAAGCGGACGTTGAGTTTCATATGATTACCGATTTATTTGCGCGATAATGGATGGACGATGTATGTCGACGACCATTTTCACGGCTAGCACGCGACGACGATCGAACGATTTAAACGTTAGCTTTTTTGTTTTGTAACCGAATGAACGAGGAGAGAAGCCCACCTCGCGCTCCATTTCAACGATTGCGTACTGTAAACCGATTTAGTTTACGAATTGATTTGGAATTTCTACTATTTCTATATTTTTCTATTTCTCTCTTTTTATTCTATACTATTTCTTTTTTTTTAATGAAATAAAATTTAATCACCAATTTTTTCCTATAAGATTTTTATCCGAATTTGTTCTTTTTTTCTCTTATTTCTTTCTTTCATTTTTTTTTTTTGCAAATATGAATTTATAGATATCAATTAAACGTACAAGTTATATTTCGTTAAAATTAAACATTGTATTTGATTAATTCGTATTATATTCATTTGTAACATTTATTTTATTTAATATCATATATAACAATATGTATATATAATAAAATATTAATATTTTATTATATATATTACGTACGTGGGTTTACGTTGTCGATGAAGATTATACCTAGAAAGATAATAAGTTCGATTCAATTGGTAAACGATGATATGACCTTAAGAGTAATTGCTTTCTCGTTGACCGCATTTTACAAATAGCAACGACAATACACTTTAAACTCATAACCAATGCAAATTGCCTATTTCCTAGAACCTCCTACCAACGAATTGATTATGAAAGGAACAGTGAGTGAGATAGAGATGAGATGGTAAAGAGTAGACGGGGATCTTTATTTTCAGTTGGTACCTACCAATAAAACTTTATTTTCATGTTTCTACCTAGGTGAAAGATTTAAAAAAAAAAAAAAAAAAAAAAACAAAAAACAAACAAATAATAACAAGAGGAAAAAAATGAGGAAAACTTCTAACAAATTTCACACCGAAGTCAATCCCATACGATTGAAAATGATAGAAATATAAACTGTAGTTATTAAAAGTAATTACACGTTTTTAATTAGTTCAAACAATGTTGAAAAGCAAGAATATTTCTTTCTTTCAAAAAAAAAAAAACAATCACCAATTTTCATCGACACTTAATCACCTTTTTCTCTTCCTTTCTTTTATTCTTTTTTTTTTATTTGTTCTGTACTTTCACATATCTACATATTCCTCTTGTATAAACGTATTACCATATTTCCAATATCCATTAAATACAAAACGATTCTAAAGTAGTAAAATCAATAACTAACTCTAATAATTCATAGAATAATCACGTTTAATATAATTACGAATGAATGACTAAACGATGCATATATTAATTGACGTAGATATAAACTAAACTAAATTTGTTTCGAGAATTATTTAAAATGATATTTTGTCCAAATTTTAATCGGAAATAATCGAAATTTATTATCGTTCAATTATATATATTATATATTGTATCTCTCTCTATAAATATATATATAATCTCTGACGAGAATTTCATTTTAAGCGTTCGATACTAAGTCGAGAATATGCATAGTAGATCTTTGTGATTTTCCACGCTCCCGGGTGTACAACATGGCGGATAAGTAGCTACGACCTTCTCTACTTACGTATCCAAGTTATTTTCTCTCTCTTTCTCTCTCTAATACTCACTCTCCCAGACTCTCCTGGGTAAAGAAACTTTCTCTACCTCACTCGTGAGATAAGATGCATAATTGCTCGGATTTTCCTCTGACGCGTTTCCAAGCAAGCCACACCACTATCCTCTTTCCTTTTCTTTCCTTTTTTACTTCCCGTCCGATAGACACAGTTGGTCGGTTAAATCTCAGCACTGGAAAGAAAAAACGATGATGCCCTTTTCTTCCTTCTTTCGCCCTTTTTGACTTTTCCTTACTCGAAACTTTTGTTTTTTATCTTCACGATCCTTCTGAATTTCATGCATTTTATATTTATCTCTCTTTCTCTTTTATCATTTTTTTTCTTACCGCGTGTTTCCACCTAAGTTAACGTTAAGTTGATATATGAGTTTTTGTCGAATAATTTCAAACGATTAACATTTCTACCGAAATAAAAATATTTAATTTATATTTTATTCGATACATTAATTCTTTTCTAATGAAATTTATTTATTAATATTTTTAAAATAATATCAATTTTAATTTAGTATATTTTTTTTTTATTTTGTATTTCTTATATAAAATTATATACACCTTGGTTGGTTAAACCAAACACACTTTTCAACCCATTCTCTTCTACAAAGTATCTTAAAAATCTTTATAGTAAATAGTAAAATAGATAAGAAACAAAATATAACACGTATATAGGTTTACAAATAAAATAGAAATTATTTCGTTCATCTAGTCAAGAACTAATTTCAAATCTTTTAACTACCTAAAAAGACTCAAGGGACACACACACCTTATATGTATAGAAATATTATATTATACTTTATTATAATTCTTTATCTTATTATTATAACTAATCCTTAAAGTACCATCATGTTTCACGGAGTGAATGTTCAAGTATTCTCATTTAAATGAGAATATCACCAACCCCATCCCTTTTATTATAGACACATACGCACGAAAGAACACATATACTTATTACATATATAAAGCGTATGTAGATACGTTTTTAAAGGAGGTGATGGTAATAAAGGAGAATGATGAACGTTAAGAAAAAGAAAAAGGGGAATGGGGATGTATCTCATCGTCGACTATTTGGAAAAAATTGAAGATCTCCGGTTTTGGAGTGCGAAAAAAAAAAGAAAAAAAGAAGTATATTACATCTCGTTTATCGCCGTTGTCTCGTTTTGCAAAAGCGTCGCCTTTTAATTCTTTTCATCCACCTTAATCCTTCTTCCGTGTCAAGCGGTAACTCTTTTAATCTTTCCCCGTGGGCTAATGTACGACTCCTTGACATCTTTTTGCTAAATGTTCCTAGCTTTGTTTTCATTTTTCCCATTCTCTAACATTGAGGGGAAAAAAACACCGCAAAGTCGCCCACTTCATGCGCGTCCACCTTCTTCTTCTTCTTCTCTTCGTTTTCTTCTTCTCTCATCTTTTACAGAGTACTTATTTCTTTTTCAGCTTCCTCATTTTCCGTGTCATAATATTACTCTACTAATAATGTACACTTTCCTCCCCCCTCCCACTTTTTTTATTTTAATATCTCTACAATCTATCTCAATCGTTTCAATCTAATTCTAAACGTCAAGCCATTTCATAATATTACTAAAATCTTCTTTCTTGATATAATCATTTTTTCCCATTTTTACTTTATACATAATCTTTGTTCTCCCATAATCTTATTACCTTTTACAAAGATAAAAATATAATAATAATAATAAAAGGCAAACGATAAAAAAAGAAAAGACACTTTTTAACACGTTTATCATATTTTATGTATTCTTTCATTTTTCTTTTTAGGTGGCTTCACCTGTTGTTTAATCTGGGAGTGCAGGTGGTCGTGGGACTTCCACTCGAGATGGTGCACGGAAGTTTGAGGATTGCCGCTGTTTATATGGCTGGAGTCCTGGCCGGTAAGTTAAATCATTATTATTATTATTATATATCGTGACAATAATTATATTCGCAATATTAACTTTATATAATATATATACTCTCTCTCTCTCTTTCTCTCTCTCTCTCTCTCTCTCTCTCTCTCTCTCTCTCTTTCTCTCTCTATCTTTGTTTAATTTTTTTTATTAATTTCTTTCACTTCCCTTCTCTCTCTCTCTCTCTCTCTCTCTCTCTCTATCTCTTTCTCTCTCTCTCTCTCTCTCTCTCTCTCTCTCTCTCTCTCTCTCTCTCTTTATTCCGATAACGAAAGAACATGTATTCATACCATACCGTGGCATATTAATTTCGAAATAACACCGCGTTAATTAGAAGGCCTTGTAATTGGAGAACAACATTTGTTCCAAGCGTGAGTATAGTGTGTTGATTTAAGTTTGCATTATTTGTAATTATATTAATTATGGAATAGCATCGCGTGCATTTCCCGAAAGAACAGGTCTCTCTCTCTCCCTCTCTCTCTCTCCCCCCCTATCTTTCTTTTACATACATATAGGTGTACATTTAGGTAAATGCACTATTGTGTTCACAGCGACACAACCGTTTCATACTCCTCTACTTCGTGCCTCGATCCTGTTTTGGGATTTTCAGTAAAGGTGGTGGTGCTTGGTGGTGGTGATGTTGGGTACACCTTCTCTCCCATCTCTTCTCTTTCTCTTCCTTCCATCTTTCTCTCTCTTTCTCTATACGAAGAGACAGTTACGTGGTCCTGTGCTGCTCTCTCATCGTCGTCGTCTTCGTCGTCGTCGTCTGTATGTATATATTCGTGTACACCTAATTGCCATTTGCATAAATTCGATTAGACGCAGATCCCTGGTTATTAGCAGTCATGAAAGTAAAACGTTGCAAAATAGGGCACATGAATAATAAACCTGACCGGGAGATTCGAGAATAGACATTGGACGTTCTATGGGATATAGGGGGAGGAATTTTCAAGGGATGGAGAAACGCAAACGGGTAAAACTTAAGGAACGGAACGATCGGCTTATCGCTTGCTTGCTTGCTTGCCTGCCTACCTCTTCATTCCCCTTCTCTTCTTACTCTCTCTCTCTCTTTTCTTTCTCAATCGTTTTAGATAATGCCGAAGTCTGTTATTAGAGAAATCGTCTAGCGATTTACACGATACCGCGATTGGGATATCTGCTAGGAAATTTTTTTTCTTATAATCTTCAATAATCCAACATTAAAAATGTTTTTTCTTTATTTCTTCTTTATTTTCTTCTCCTTCTTTTCTTCCTTCCAATTTCCGCCTCATAATGGGAAAATAAATTTCAATTTTAATGTAGGAAAATAAAGAAAATAAGAAGAAAAAAAAAAGAAATCCATTAAACAAATATTTCAACAAAAACAAATTTTCAAAATAATAGAATTTTTTCTACCGTAACTAAACGCATATTTTAATATTTCCATTATTTTGAAAATTTATCTTTTTATATATCTTATAATAAATTTATTATAATATTATATATAAAGCGCTATCTTCTTTTCTTTCTTACTTTATTTCCTTCATTTATTTTTATTTAATCAATTTTCTTTATTAATTATAATTAATTCGTAGGCACGTGTGCATACACAGAAACACACGCTATGCATGCGCGCACGCACGCATGTACGCACGCGATCTTTGTAATTTACGAAACGCGAGCTTCATAAGCATAGTAAATATTGTCTTTGGTCTCTGTTTCTCTTCCACTTTCCCTCCCTTCCTTTCTTCCCTATCTTTCTCTTTCTCTCTCTTTCTCTCTCCCTCTTTTGAAAGGGCGACAGCTTGTCTGGGGCCACCGCGACAAGATTACTTCGTATGCATCGCGGTCGCGACGATGTAATGCGATTGCTGTGACGCAAGTGCAACGACATCTAACCCTCCACACAAGCCTTCTCTATATCTCTTCCACAATGTTTCCCTCTTCAACCCTCAAGTCCGCTATTTCACCCCCCAATCTTTAGTATAATACCACACGTTTTAAACCATCCCTACATTTCTTTGAATTTCTTCTTTCTATGGGTACTACTTTCTCTCTCACCCCCTTTATCATTTTATTCTTCCTACCACTTTTTTTTCTGACAATACACCTCTCTTCGAAATTTCTTATCCAAGATTTATTGACATGTAACATATATGTATTCGTCGTCCCCCCATTTTTTTCCATTCGAAAACAAGAAAATAGAAAAAGACCAAAAAATGTATCTTATATGATACTATACAGAATATTTTATTCTTTTCCCTTTTATCCTCAAATGTCTTCTTCTTTTTTTTTTTTGTTCTTTTTTTTTCTATTTGCTATCAAAAAGTTAAAGACAATATCTGAATTATGCAACAAAATTGTGAACGATAATTTTGTTTTACTCGCATTTTATTGATAATTACCATCATCTCACATTATTTATATTAGTCCCTTTTAAGTTCTTTACGATCCACCTTCATTACCATCATTAACATCGTTAAATAAAACGAGCTACTCGTAGAGATACTTCCACCATTTTCCTTTAAGAATCTCCCTTATTTCTTTCTCCCCTATCCTTTTCAGTAATTAATGATTAGAAATGCGACATATATATCGTAAATTTATACTCCAATCTAAAAAAAACGTACTTTTTCGATAGATATCCCAGTGTACACACCAACGTAACAGTGATATCACATCTAGAGAACATGTAAAATAACAAATGTAATGTAAATTTTACATTCTTGTGATACAAATTGTTATGTAAATGGGTGCATGTAAATCAAATTTGTGACGTAAATATGCCATTAAAATTACATATATGTAACATACCGAGTGACATCACATTAGTAACCTTAGAGTGATGTTATATTTATATAACATAGTTACGTTAGCTTTACATTCTAGATATAACGTCACTATTACATACCTAAGTTAACTTATAAATAACATAACCGGTGTGACTCTGTTTTATCATCACATTTACATCACAATGTAATATTTCAATTCTGTTCATATTGTTACAGAACACCTATATAMAATAGTTATATTTTTTTTACTTTGGAATTTTATGTYAAATTTATGTTAAAAAAGTAACTTTGAAATTATATAATGCGTTGTAACTGCATTGCTTTATACTGCAKTTTGCATAATGCATCAATATTTGAATAGGAATATTTTTTTACAAAATTAAATTCCTTATAAGTATATATTTTCAGTGCATTAAATAAATATGTCTAATGGTTAGTGTACCACCGGTGGTACACGTGGCACGGAACGTGTTAGTTATAATTTATATTATTAATTTATGTTATATTTTATTATTTAATATTATTTAATAATTATATTTAATAATATTTATTAATTATAATTAATAATATTATTAGTTCTATATGTATTAGTAATATAATGTAAATTAAAATAAGTTCGCATGGCTTAGTGAGGCAAATCACCATCCAGTAATATCCATCCAGTAATCGTATGTTCCCGAGTTCAAATCCCGGGAAAAAAAAACAAACAAAAAAAAAAGAAAACAATTATATAACCTTAACAACGGTTTTCGATTTTTTTTATATGTGACGTAACTATGATATTCGAATTATATCACTGCTATATCACCGATGTAATATGTATGTGAAATTAACATCATATTTATGTTCATTATGTAACGTCACATTGTTACGTAAATGAGTGTGAAAATGTGCGTCACATGTGAGTCACCTGTGACCCGTATGTTATTTTAAGGTTTACGTAACCTAAAATTTTGGTTCTGTAAATGTGACGTCTCGATTACATTGGTGTGTTCACTGGGTAAAATTTTGGTTCTGTAAATGTGACGTCTCGGTTATATTGGTGTGTTCACTGGGATACGTACAAATCTATATATATCTCACTCCTACTATATATACATATATAATCATAATCATAATAAAATACGTTCCCATTTTACATTGGAGAGATCATTACAATATAATCCGTAAAATAACGAATATTTCATAAAAACATGATGATTTCGTAAAATCAACAAAACCGGTTAAACCGATTCGATAGGATCATAAAACAACATCGAAAATATAGAACAAAATCATCGAGCTCTTTTTTTTATTATTAAATGGATGTTAAAAAAGGATACACAGAGGGAAAAGAGATAAAGAACGCACAATTCGTATTCGATGAGTCGCGTGTTCGTCGGAGATATTCCAATATGAACTACTGTAGAGAGTAGTAGTCAGACTCGTTATCTGTCCTACTACTGGCTGCTGAGTTTGTCATAGGCCAGTCATTTCTACTTCGATAATTCGACTGCACCCAATGGTCGTTTCTCTCTCTCTCTCTCTCTCTCTCTCTCTTTCTCTCTCACTCACTCTCTCTCTTTCTCTTTCTCTTTCTCTTTCTCTCTTTCTCTCTTTCAAATGTGAAACGTTTACGAACAACGCGGAAGGATTGGATAGCGCTATTCGGTACGAAATGAACGACTGAAATATAAATGGTCATCGCTCGAAAGTATTAATTGCACTTTGATAACAAAACGCGAATATAACGTTCGAAACACACCACCATTCCTACAACTTTTATGTAATTGTACCTTCGATCTACCGATCGTTTCAGAGAATACGATAGATGATGGGTAGGGGGGGTATGGTTTATATTATGTATTTAAAGATAGTATTACCTATATCCAATCGGGGTTTGTCAAAAGTTCAAATCTAAAATATCCAAAGTGTGTATCTCTTTCTTTTTCATTTTCAACTTCATTCGAGTGAACTATTTTTTGTTTGATTTTTTTTTCTTTTTTTTTTTTACCTCGTTGATGTAGTTTGGATTTTAATTGATCGTAACTGTATAAAACTTTTGATTAACTGATACCGTGTGGTACTTCAAGTATCGTCGCAAAACGTAATGGGTATTCGATAATGTGTTGGAACAAAACTTAGAACGATCGCCAAAATAAAGTTATATTTTTCGTATGTGGAAAAAAGAAAAAATTACAAATCAAAATTCAAATTAAAAAAAAACAGGAA